TGTCATAACATTAGAACCTTATATAACTTCTGTGTTTCAGATTTTGCAGTAATACACTTTATATTATTGCGAATTTCCATAATATGTGAAATGGATGTTGATGAGTCAACTGGCAATCCTATTTTGCCCAAATGCATTGTTGGAGAAAAACGGTTGTCAACTTGCCACCATGGTTAATTTTATTCTAACAAAATTGGGCTGCATTATGTGCACAGTTCGTCCGCCGAAGAAAAAATAGTCATTACTTTTAAAATAGTCAGCAATTGGAGGTTGAGCTCACAGACGATGACCAAATCTGCTTGCATCACAGAGCGATGTACCTGAAAAAGTACATGAAGCAAAAGCCATGCTGCAACCCATTTGACAAACAAAATCACGTAGCTAAACATGGGCTGTTGAAAGTCGATCTAGCCATGTCCAATGATTTAACAAAAGTGGCGAAAACAAATGTGGAGGCAGGTCAAAAGATTTGTTCCGAGTGTAAAGGTAAATACACTTCCATGGTCCAAAGCACGGCAGACTCTTCGTCATCGGATAATTACAATATGGACATTTCGGACACTGTTAATTGAAGTTTGACCAATTTAAGGCAGAAGCTGAACAGTAGGGATAAAACTGGCTATGTGAAATGAAAAATTGAACACGTGTGGAAAGTGGTAGCAGACAAAATAACATTAGCCGCTGGAGTAGCAGCTGAAGATATTGGGCAAACTAGTGAGTCTGGTGCTAAGGAATGCCAGTCATGCCAGGATTATGCTGATCTAATCAAAGACATGAAAATTAAAATATCCGATATATTGATGAAATTTCAATTATTGACTTTGGCCCCAAAGAGTTGGTCAATACCGGTGACAGCAAAAATGTTTGGCATTTCAGAACGTATGGTTAAAACAGCGAGAAAAATAAAGAGAGAGGCATTTGTGCACTACCTGATGCAAAAGTTGGCAAACCGCTGCCAAAGAAAATTGCCAACAGTATTGAAGATTTCTACGAGGATGATGAAATTAGGAGGATGTGCCCTGGCAAAAAGGACTGTGTTTCTGTTCAGCTTGATGGTGTCAAGGTTCACAAACAAAAGCAGTTGATACTGTGCAATCTGAAAGAACTGTATGAGGCATATCGAAACAAATATGGTGCTGAAATTGGTTTCTCCAAATTCTGTGAACTCAGACCAAAGTGGTGTGTCACCGTCTGTGCCTCAGGCACACATTCCGTCTGCATCTGCAACATTCATAAAAATGTTAAGCTTATGCTACAAGGTGCCAACATTAAAGGACTGCAAGCTGCTCTTGGGAAAGGCAGTTTGTGATCTGAACACCAAAGATTATATGTTTGCAGTGATGCCAAAACTGATAGCACATTTGGATGAAATATTTGAGGACTGGGATTCAGAAGAATCAATAGAATTCAAAAAATGGGTTCATACTGACCGCGAAATGCTGTAAACAAATGTTCTCAATGTTGAGGTCTTCATCAAAAAACTCACTAGCAAAATGTGGAAACTGGCTGGCCACCACTTCGTTTCAAAACATCAAAGCTAATATTTGAAGTTTTTGAAAGCTGACCTAAAAGAACCTAACTGATTGTACTGATGGATTTTGCAGAGAATTACTCGTTTGTTGTCCAAGATGCTGCTCAAGGGCTTTCACTGAGAGAATTCGCAAGCCACAGTGCATCTGTTCATCACTTGTCGATAAAGATGGCGCACTGCAAATTGTCAACTGATCATATGTAACATGATACAGTTTCCATGCACGTGTTCATTCAAAGATTACAACAAAGATTACAACAAAGATTACAAGAATATACTTCTTTAGTGACGGTTCAGTGGCGCAATACAAAAATTACATCAATCTGTGCAATCACAAACATAATTTCGAAATTGAGGCCGAATGAAATTGTTTAGACACGAGTCACGGCAAATCACCATGCAATGGAGTTGGTGGTACGATTAAACGTTTGGCTGCTCGAGCCAGTCTCCAGTGACCATGAACTGACCAAATACTGATGCCGACAGATCGGTTCAACTTTTGCGACAGAAACATTCACGGAATTAAATATATATATGTTCCGAAGGAAGAAATCGAAGAAAGCAGGATGATGCAAGAAGAAAGATGGAAAGTTAGCGGCACAATAGCTAGCACAAGAGATCATCACCAGTTTGTGCCAGTTGATTCAAATTCAATTTCTGTCAGCAAAGTTTCAAATGACACAATTAACTTTGTGGCCAAAATGTCCAATACCGTCGATCTGAATTTAAAATTGGCCAACATATTTCCCAGTTGTTATGTTGCCTGCATTTATGACAAAAAATGCTGGTCAGACAGGTTGACAGTATCAATTCCCAGATGCTAAAGAACATGGCACATAAATTCAATAATAAGCGATCATTGGAATTTGGCAGTTCATACGAACAGTATGGACTTCGGCTTGGGAACCATATAAGATACCCAATTTAGGCTTGGGAATCTAGGATAAGCTGCCCAATTGTCAGCTTGGGAACCGAATAGATACCCATGGAAGGCTTTGGAACATTGAGGAAGAAACCAAACACAGGCTTGGGATCCTGAACCAAGAAACTCACCCATGGCTGATATTGCATGGCTATCGGGCATGCCCCCTATGGTGATGGGGTTGCTGGCTCAAGTTCCTGAACTGGTAGCGACAATGTTACCATGGACCAACACTATATAATAGTAGTAATGATGTCTATATGAAACAAACAAGACGAAAAAATAATAGAATGCATGTGACACTGCCATAGCAATTTTTCTCCAACAACGCATTTGGGCAAAGTAGGATAGCCAGTTGACTCATCAACATTCATTTCACATATTAATGAAATTAGCAATAATATAAAGTGTATTACTGCAAAATCTGAAACACAGAAGTTATATAAGGTTCTAATGTTATGACAGAAATATGGCAACTACACTTGTACAGTTCAGAATCCTATAGCCGCAACATGGTAGGCACATGAGCCTTTGCAGGAAGCATCTTTGTTCATTCTGATCGGTTTAAAGTCTGAAGCTCCGTTTTGACTATGCTCCATGTGGCTTTGCAAAGCTAATTGCCAATTAAGTCTTTGGCAGTGTTTCAAGGGAGCTAAAGGTGGGTGCTTATCAGCCTTATCCCAAAAGACTTTGGCAGACCTCTGTCGGACTCTTCACAAACTATTTGTGACTCATTACCGGCTGTGAATGAACATAATTCACAGTCATTGAAATAAAATGATTTGGAGCAATAACATTTATTGCTCCAAATCTCCCCAAATGCTCCCACATTACTGGCAAGTTCCAGAACAGAGTGATAACAAACCCCCACACAAACCTCAAGCAGCCTCGCTGCAATTAGTCCAGACCAGTGCTTTCTGCACCAAGGCTGCATGGCAATAAATCCCAATGTATTTGGAAAATCAAGGAGTTCAAAAGATAGAGGTAATTAGTCCAGAATGCCAAAAGGAATGCAAGGACTCTTGGCAAGTTCAAATGTCGGCACGCAACACTTCAGGAACTCAGTGTTTGTTCCTGACAAATGCCCCTCCCCAGTGTCTCCCTAAGTCTCATTCCCCAGGTGTGCCTGGTGAAGATGGGCGGGGCACTCTCCTCCTGAGTAGGCTGCTCAGTCTACGCTGATCATGCCTTTTCTGCACTCTCCGATCAGGAGGGGGTGAGTGGTCCTTGCTCCTTGTCTGAGCTGTCTCTCATGTTCCATCCTGCCCCTGTTCCTCCCTGCCTACAGGTCTTGCTAATTCTGAAAAGCCTTGCCTGGACTGACTCTGCCCTTCCCCAGTTTCCTCTATGGCCAATGGAGCTGCCCTCTCAATCACTGTCAGTTCTTGTTCCAGCTCATCTTCACCCGCAGATTCAGACTCCGACGGGGGCATGGCATGGGAGTACAATGGTAAAATGGAAGTTTAAATTTCCTGCATTATTTGTTTTTTCAGAATGGTAATGATATCTCACCTCAGTCAACTGTCCTGCACCAAAAAACTTAACAGTACACATTCTCAGGAAGTATTTTTATATGGTATTTTCCAAACATCTAACTAGAATTGTTCCAGGAGCAAAGATAGAATGGATATAATCCATGGGTGCCAAACTAGATCATGTCAAGTGATTTATCGTGACGTATTGTGACTTTTTTGCCTTTGCAGAACCGCGGTGGGCATGGCCTGCATGTGACGCATCAGGCCTGTGGGCTGCCAGTTTGACAGGCCTGAATTATATAATCCCTCCATGATTTTACAGACATGTATGTTTTGTACAAGATAGCAGCCTTCTCAAGTACATCAAATTAAATGCAGCCCACCATAATGTACAGTCCACATGACAGGCTGAAGTAATTATATATAAAATAGATGATGCAATCTACTACAGGGGCAAGATGTGCAGAACTGCAACTGTCTCCAGTTTTGTAATTAAATCAAACACAGAAACTTATCAATCAGAAATAATCCTACAAGCTTACAGCTCATCACATTCAAGAATTAGATTCTATTCTGCATCAAAGAAAATGTCAGTCTTGGGCAAAAATCATGCAGCAATCAAGTTGCTGTAAACTAATCTATACAAGATCTGATACACAACTAATCTATATATTTTATATTTATCTAGCTTTATTGAAAAATGTAATAAACTAATACAATGAAAAATAAATCAAAGAGCTAAAAGTGCAAAAAGAAAATAGAAAAATATATAAAGTAGGTTCCAATTTTGTTATAAATTTATATATTTATATTTATAAATTTACCTCTTACTATATGGTTACAACAAACATTTCTGAAATCTATCAAAACCATAAATTATAAGCTCATTTTTCTGTTTCATGTAAGAAGTCTATAAAAGGTTTTCAGCCAGCAATAAATGTAGATATAGTCTTTGATCAAAGTCAATTTAACCACCTCAGCAAGTTCCATAATTTTCATCAACCGTTCCCTCCATTGTGGGTAATGCTGAATCTTTCCATCTTTGTGCATCAATGTATATATTTTCTTTAACTGTCAGAGGCATGTAAAATAATACTCCATAAAATGGAAATTGTGCCTTTAAATTTAGTTAGGGTATGTAGAAACCAAAGACCATGTGATCACAAAAATAGTGTCCTAATAACTGTCTCGGGTGTTTTGGCACAGAATTACAAGACGATTTTAAGAGTAAAATACCTATCACCATCGTGGCGTTTGATGGCCTTCCCACCTTTTACGCTCAAAAGCAACTCCAGGTCATCTCTTCCACATGCCACCTCTCCACTCCATTTGTACCATCGCACAGGACATCCGTATCTCACCAAACTCTTCTGCATTATACAACTCTTATTTGGTGGCGGTCTCCCATGTTCTCAAGGGCCACACAGGCAGTTCTCTTATTAACCCGCCCACCCACACCTCGGTTTAACTGCGGCCGCTTGATCTTCCTTCGCCGCATGGAGCAGCACCGGGGTCCGTTTCAGGCGTCCCAAACTCTTACCATGGGTCGAACTCGTGTATGATGCTCTCAAAGCGGATGACGGCGAAGAGCCTGGAACTGAAACCAGCCAGGCAGGCCAGGAAAAGGATCGTGAAGGAGAGCAACGATTGCCAACCGGCCGGCTGCGACAGCCCCCCCGACAGGCCCCCTCCTCCCGCCGCGGCCCCGGGGCCAGTAGCCGCCAATGAGCCTCGGCTGTTGGCCAGAGCTTGGGAATTTGAAGATGACGACGAGACGGCGGCGCTGGATTTGTGCTTCTGGTTGCCGGCTGAATGTTCCGCCATGTTGTCCCCCGGGCTTCTCGCTGTTTCTCCGCCTAACGTGCAGCGGCGGAACAGACTTCAACACACTTCGTGAAAGGGGAAACGGCTAAAGTAGCTGCTTTTTCCGCGCCCCTTTCACTGGCGAGGGAAGCCCTTCCCTACCACCTCTCCTCGAGCGAACCAGGAACTATCGCCCCTTGCAGCAGGCGCCGCCAACATCCCAATGAGGGACCAAAGAACGAGCGCGAGATTGGATAAGCGCGCGCAAGAGAAAGATTTGGGGTGGGGTGGGGCCTGCGGGGGAGAGTAAGTAGTGGAAGCGGACCTTCGAACCGAAGATGGTGAAAGTAGCTTCCGTGTGAAAATAAATTCGTTCGGGATGGCGTTCGAAGTAGGTTAAGGAAAATGAAGTGGTAGGAGAAATAAAGCGCGGAACCGTAGAGAGCCGTTGAGCAGCGCGTGAGATAACGAGACGGGAAAGAGCTAAAATGGCTAATCTAGGCACGCAACACGAGCGACCACTGAAACTGATGTAGGCGGAGCCAACGAGACTTCTTCCGTTTACATCAAGAACTATGAACCTGTCAGGAGCGACAGGGACTTCAAAAGGACAAAGCGATAGCCAATCAGGATCGAGAACCATAGGGCGAGGCTACAGAGAGGCTGTTAATTTATCAGTTTTTACCAATGAGAAAATGATAAGTTTAATCGTTTGATTGGCTGAGACGGCAACCGGTGATGGGAGTAAAAAATGTTTTTTATCTGTCACGTGAGACAAATTGACTCCAATCACTGCAGTACTGTATGTTATGTTAAAACAGGAAATTCGAGAACTAATGTATTGCTTTTGCATTCGTAGCTAGGAAGCGCGAGGTATATTGTGGCTTTTAGTTTCTAGAAATTGTTGCTTTTCATCTGTAGTAACTTAGCACCCACCCCTCTCCTAGGAAAATGAAATATTCTAGGAAATATTAAAAAGGCAGAATATTATATCCCCCCCCCCAAAAAAAGAAACATGTTTCTAAAGACAAACTCAGAGTCTCAGCTCCTTCCCACCAGCAGATTTTTTGGTGCCAACCTATCTACAAGACAAAGGCTGGGCCAGCTTGTCTACAAAACAAAAGACATGGCCCTCAGGACATGATAGGATTAGCCCTCACTCAAGATCCAAACCAGGACAAAGCCATTAAGCCATTGTGGGAAGTTATCATCCAGCCCTCTCCCAGAAAAATGAAATATCCTAGGAAATATTGAAAAGGCAGAATATTTCTCTGGAAGTGAAAAGAAANATGCAGCGAGACCTCAATCGCAAGATGGTTGAGAATGTGGCTTTCAGCACCTTTGACAAGTGGTGGGAGTGCAAAGAGGAAAAGGCCAAGGTGATTTTGCAGCAGGGGAATGAAAGGCATGGGTTGCCACCCATCTGAGGCAAATTGGAAGGAAATAGGAGATAGGTTATCTGTTTGTGTACAAGTAGTTCTCGACTTACAACAGTTAATTTAGTGATGGTTCAAAGTTACAACAGCACTGAAAAAAGTGACATGACCATTTTTCACACTAATGACCATTGCAGCATCCCCATGGTCATGTGATTTACATTTGGATGCTTGACAAGCTACTCACATTTATGGTGGTTGCAGGGTCCTGGAGTTTGGGTTTTTAAATTGTGGATTACGACATCAGGAAGGAGATCAAAGAGCAGTGATGACCTTGAGATGGGGGAGGCTCTCTCCTTGAGCCATAATGTGGTTTATTTGGAAATAGCTTTCTAATGAATATAGCAGTTGTGCTTTATTATATAAAATTAGCCCATATGTCACAATAGGTGGTGAGGATAGTAAGCATTAGGGTAGTTTGAAATAAAGCAGTGGTGTGTTCAGGATCCCGTTCCAACCAGTACCCACATGGATGTGCGCAGCACACGCGCAGCGTGTGCATGCAAGCGATGCCTCCGCAAGCCTCCGTGACGCTCCAGCTGCTCGTTGGCTTTAAAGGGCAGGTAAGGAGCTTGGGCGGTTGGGTGGGCCCTCCGGAGCACCATACTGGAACGGTACCCGGTGCTCTGGGCAGGCTCCGGTATGCTCGTACCGGGGTGTATCGCCTGCAACCCACCACTGAAATAAAGGTAGGCAACCTTTATAAGAAGTGAATTCTTTCGTAAACTTTGAGAATAATAAAATAGTTCTCAGATTGTAGTTCTGTAGGCCAGCTTACTGCTTTTGAAGACTCTTCTGTTGTATACCTTCCTTTCTTCCCCACATCCAGAATGCTGCTTTCTTCCACTCTGCCCCTAATCATTTCCTAATCAATGCTGCAATCTTATTGTCTTTAGCCCTTCCAGAACACTGTTAAACAGCTAGTGAAGGAAGAGGAGAAAGACAAAAACAAACTGAAAGATCCCGCCCTTCTGTCTCTAGTGGACTGGGCCAAGAGTGGTGGAACCGGTGCCCTGGAGGGCTTTGGCTTTGGGACTGGCTTTCGAGGAGTCCTCAGGCTCCCGTCCTTCAAGGTAAAGGCCAGGGTGTCCTCGGGCTGGAGGCCTGTTCAGGAAGCTGTACAGAGTGGAACTCATATTTCTTAAGGGACAAATGATTTTGTTTGACTGTCATCTGAAACATGGTGCTCTACTCAGGAAACCCCCTGTTTCCTTGAAGGACG